GTAAGTCTCACCTCATTGGCTGAAGAATATGTAAGTACAAATATCATTGGTTCTCTATATAGAAACACATGATAGAATATGTAAGCTCGTATCTTATTGGAGGATGACGAGACGACGGTGACTGGTGATTGGTTGGTGTCAGGTAAACACGGCGATACATAAGGGCGAATAAAGAAGCTGATTGTTCTGATTGGTTGATGAATATATAACACGAATGCTGAGAGAGAGAGAGAGAGAGAGAGAGAGAGAGAGAGAGAGAGAGAGGTCCTTACAAGTGATGACATAATTACAGTGAGTCAGTAGTACCAGTTTTGCTAAGGTTCACTGTTGACATATTTGGCTGAGCTTTGTCTCTCTCCACTCCCACCCACTCTACTTCCCCACACCTTCCACTCCCTTCCCCATCTCCATAATCATAACCCCTCCCAGATCGGGTTGGCGGGGAGAGTCACGCCAGCTTCTACTCATTTGAATAATCATTATTTTTTCCCTCACCAGCATCTTCTTCTCCCACCTGTTACCTGTCCCTCATCACACACTAATTATCACTAATGACCATATAACCTATAGTGGATTATATAGGAGGGTGATTATATACCCAATTAGTATAGGGAGGTATATATATATAAATATTAAGAATGTAAATGAATTAATGATATAAATAATTAAATAGCTATAGGAAAATTATAAAAAATAAGGTAAACATGTAAAAATAAGTAGGCCTATAAGAGTGTAAGTAGGTCTATTATAATGTACGTAGGCCTATGATAATGTACGTTGCCCTATAGTAATGTACGTAGGCCTATGATAATGTAAGTAGGTCTATAATAATGTAAGTAGGCCTATAATAATGAAAGTAGGGCTATAATAATGAAAGTAGGGCTATAATAATGTAAGTAGGGCTATAATAATGTAAGTAGGGCTATAATAATGTACGTTTGCCTATAAGAACGTAAGTACACAAATGAGAATAAAAATAACATTCATAATTATAATAATAATAAGTTAATCATTGAAAATATTACACACACACACACACACACACACACACACACACACACACACACACACACACCTAACACGTCATCAACCACAGGTGCTAAAGAATACACGCACCATTGGCTACTTATACCTAATGAGTGTATGAATCCTTGTTCAAGCAGGTAATTAGGCTGATTGTACCCTTACACCTGACAGGCATCCCAATACCTGCTTGATATAGTGCTTCATTATGGCCTGATTGCTGGGTGTAAGTTCTGGGAGTAATGCTGGCTGCAGGGCGTCTCTCTCTCTCTCTCTCTCTCTCTCTCTCTCTCTCTCTCTCTCTCTCTCTCTCTGTGTAGGGTTTCTATGCTTGGTTCAGGGCTTTCATTTATATTTGAAGCAATATTCTCTATCTATCTATCTATCTATCTATCTATCTATCTATCTATCTATCACCAATAGCTATAGGTCTCACGTTAATTACCTCTATGATAAAATTAATCACCTGTTATTCTGAAAAATTATTAATGGAAGTCAAAGTTATCAATTATATTTTTATTATATATTTTAGTTTATTAATGAGATGTTGTACCTGTGAGGATTACTGCATGTACACACACACACACACACACACACACACACACGTACACAGACCCACACAAACGTACACACACCCACACAGACGTACACACACCCACACAGACTCCAGGTGTCGTCAATAACAATCAACTCATTAAACGCCTACAGGTATTTCCACTCACTAATCAAAGATCTGATTGGCTAATGGCTGAACCAATAGGAGATACGTTAGGATATGACGTAACAGAATGAAATTTTTCCATGCATATGTTGTGATATTATTGGCTACTTAATAAACCAATGAGGGATATAGCAGAAGGTTTATGACGACAGGTAATGAGCGACATATGCTGAGGTGTGATTGGTTGCTTAATGTACCAATGAGGGGTAGGGGAATCTATGACGTCAGATTCTCGCGTATTTTAGGAGTGATTGTCTACTAATAGGAAAAGGTATGACGTCAGACCTCTCATCTTTCGAGGTGTGATTGGCTACTTAATCAACCAATTAGAGATAGAGAAGGCTGTTATACGTCAGAGGTTAAGACAACTCCTTTGGGCATCCAATAACGGGACAGACTAGTACCTTAATAATACAGGACTTACCCCCTCCCCCCTCTACCCTCACTCTCCCTCCCCCCTCCCCTCTACCATCACCCTCCCTCCCCCTCTACCCTCACCTCCTCCCCCTCTACCCTCACCTCCCTCCCTCACCCTCTAATATACTATGATCTCGTAAACGGTTCAGTTCTCTCTTTGAGCGCCAGGGTGGGTGGAGGGACGTTCTCAAAGGGTCCTACGATATATATCTCTCGTAAGTGTCTGTCTGTCTTAAGGTATAACGTAAATATGGCGTCGATCGTATGCCAGTCTCCAGCCTAGGGTTCAAAGGTGGCCGCGGAGGGGAGGAAGTTTGGCCTCAGTTCCTCCTCCCCCCCATACAGTCACTGCCCTCATTTACATAGTGGACTTGAGGCCGACCACCGACCAACTCTACCACCGACCAACTCTACCACCGACCAACTCTTCCACCGACCTACTCTACCACCGACCAAGTCTTTTAAAGAGAGAATTTCACCTGGAGATTTTTCACCATACGCATGAGTCACCTGTTAATGGCTGGCAGAGATATATATTGTAATATTAATGTCATTTTTAAGTAACAAAAAGGGAAAATAATTATGCTTATATGCAGTTCATAGACGACAGAAGAAATATCACATCGTTTATACTTGTCAAGGAGTAAAAAAAAAATGGAAAACGTTTCGCTTTTGTTTTCATTTATTAAGGCGTGAGCAGCAGCAAATTAAATTCATGTCAGCTTCAATTATATTTATTTCTTATATATCTCGAGGGGTAAAAATAATACTGAATTTGTCGGGATTTTTTTTTGGTATTAGGAAGTTGGAAAAATTATTAAATTCAAATGCAGACTATAAACGACAGAAGGAAAGTCATGTCGTTTATACACGCCAAGGAGTATAAATGATTCGTTTTTGTTTTCGTATTAAGAAGCGGTGGAGTTTGATATATAAAGTATAGGTTAATCACATCGTTTATACACCTCAAGTGATATAAAATAAAAGAGTTCAGACATATATTGAGTACTTGTTTACGTGGTGCAGTTTATAGACGACAGAAGGAAAATTGCAACATTTATACAAGAACGAGTAAAATAATGATAAATGCTTCGATTTTGTTTTCCTATATAGAGCAGAAGAGCAGCATGAATTTATTTAAAGTATGACGAATTCACATATTTTCCTACGTGTAAATATGTATACTGTAAAACCTGGCGGCTTTCTACGGGCGGACAGACGTTGACATCACCGCCCGACAGCTGCCTCTCTGATGGTTGTCTCGCAGCTGTCTGGCCACTAATAACACAATGTTCATTTATCTCTAAAGTGGAAAACAAGTGATCGTGGGCCCTTCGTGCCCGGTGGCAAGTTCGGTGGTACAGTTTACCAAGGAGTGAAAGTTCGAACGCTCGCGCTTGGCTAGTGCGCATTGCTGTCCGGCTGACAGCGACATCGTTTTCCAGATGGTCGTGATTGTTATAATCATGGTCCTAGTTGTTATAATCATGGTCGTGGTTGTTATAATCATGGTCCTGGTTGTTATAATCATGGTCGTGGTTGTTATAATCATAGTCGTTGTTGTTATAATCATGGTCGTGAGTGTTATAATCATGGTTGTGGTTGTTACAATCACATTCGTGGTTGTTATAATCATAGTCGTGGTTATGATCATAGTCGTGGTTGTTATAATCACATTCGTGGTTGTTATAATCATAGTCGTGGTTATGATCATAGTCGTGGTTGTTATAATCACATTCGTGGTTGTTATAATCATGGTCGTGGTTGTTATAATCATGGTCGTGGTTGTTATTATCATGGTCGTGGTCGTGATACAGTATCTAATATACTATAAGAAGGAATAGAATAAAGGTTAGAATAATTTAAGAAATATTCGCCATAAGGAAAGGTTAAAATCATAAAAAAAATATATTATGAATCACCGATGATCATTCCGAGATAAATTATATTATGAAGAGAAGTGACCTTGATTCTGGTTAGATTAGTCACCATCTGCTTAACTCACCTGAGTATCTCTCGTCGTAAATTGTTTGAAAATAGCTATAAAGTTATTATTTTTTACTTGGTATGACTTAGCTATTTATTTATGTATTTAGGTAGACTTGTTCTTATTCATTTGCGTATTATTGTTTGTTTTTGATTCCGACTTATATTTTTTCGTGTTTTCCACCGTTTATACACCAAGGGGTTTAGTCTATTTTAATAAACGTTTCTCTTTTGTTTCTATGTTAATATGAGAGGGAGAGGAAGATGTTCTTTTGTTTCGTTGTTTATATTATTCCGTTTATGGGGTCAAGGGGATAATTATTTATTTATTCTGAGTCAGTCTGAAGGGAAGAATGAACGCATCAGTCCTAAATATTTTAATAAAAGAGTTTGTGAATTCTCGTCCGGTACAGAGGGTTGCCTGGGTCATATTAAGTAAGGAGGAAACTGAAGGGAAGTGAAGTACCCCCCGTAAAATAAGTACACCCGTTAGATAAATTTATTCAAGGGAGTAATAGGTGTTAAAAGTGACACACACACACACACACACACACACACACACACACACACACACACACACACACACACACACACACACACACACACACACACCCTATTACAACATTAAGAGTAATGAAGAGGGCGAAAACTCTTATTTGCCTTACAGTTCCACACACAGCCATACAGTAAATAACGTTCGTAAGTACAATAAATCACTAAGAAGATGTTTGAGAATTGTAAGTGAGGAGGAGGGGGGGGTGGAAGAAAGAGGAGGGGGGGAGGAGGAGGTGGGGTAAGGAAGAGGAGGTGGGGGAAGGAGAAAGAGTAGGAGGAGAAAGAATGAAAAGTTGAT